CATGCAAGAGAGAAAGATAAACTCAGATATGGTCTCTAGAACAGCAGATTTTAACGATGGTTAGACTTAACGAACGGCATATTTACAAGATTGCATTTTATTTCAATCCACCACTAAAATGTTCATTTCGAATAAAATGGAAATTATCTTAAAATTAAAAGTGAAGAGGACCATAATAAAATCAGTTTTCATAGCTATAAATCAAACAAAGTAAAAATATAATGTACTAATCGAAATTTTAATTTCAATTTCGCTTATTTAGAAATCTATAAAATTAATTCAATGTTTGTTCAGCACTATATGCTTGGTATCTAAAATCAACTGTGCTCAAAAGAGATATGTTAATTCGGCGAAATACATTAGGCAAAGAGAAAACAAATCATATTGTTTCTAGAAAATATTTTTAAAGATTTAAGGATTAATAGGAGTGTTACTAAAGGGGAGACTTATAATATATAATAATTATAAATGAATGGTGACTTTTGTATCAGTATGATTTTGCCTATATGTAAAGTCATTATAATCTATGTTAAGCATGTATGTCCAAATGATTGTTATAAAAACATTATTGAGTTCGCAAGCGTTTTGGAAAATGTATGATTAGGCTACACGCGTTAGCTGTATTCTACAGCTAAAAATGTATCTAACTATTTAAAGTATATGAGTTCGATTTCTTCCAAACTATAAAATTACGTTCTGCACGATTTTAATTAAGACCGTGAGCGTATGAAAGCAAAATTTTAATCTATTAAGTCTAAAAACTAGTCAACAATGTGGAAGCATAAAAATAAAAAGGTTGGAGTTGGTACAAGAATAATGAAGTGAAGGCTTCAAAAGATTACAAGGATCAAAGGGGAAAAATGACGTCTACTCACGAGAATATGTTTTTTCTTGTTGGCCATCTCAAAACATACGGGATATAGCATTTCAACAAGGATCTTGACAGCAGGTACATTCACCTCATGGTTTGCCGCAGCAGCCACAGGTAGCAAAATTTCGACAAAGAGACCGGCCAATGCGCGCTTCACTTCTTTATCCTTCAAATCCAGGAAAAACTGGGCAAGCTCTTGCATGAAGGAGAAGCATTTGACGAATTCCTCAATCGGATGCATCTTAGGTAAAATATTTTGGATGCGTGAATGAGGCCAAATTTAAAGAAATTAGGAATGAACTGAGCCATTTTTTTCTTTTCATCACGTGCATATATTCATAAATAAAGGATTCTTAAGGAATC